TTACAGATCACCATGACGCTGAGATGCTCTGGGCATGTGCCTTATGGAGATTCTGAGAAGAGTCGGCTCCATGAAGAACAGCCTAGCCTTGGAGGTCTTTGGGTGTAGACAAATCTAAGTTCACATAGCAGCTGAGTCATTTACTTGCGGCATGACCTTGGACTGATACATTCCTTAACCTCTCCAAGCACCTATTTCCTTATCAATGAAATGGGAATAAAAATAGTACCTACCTCACAGAATTATTTTGAAGATGAAATGTCTGTAATGTGGTTTGCACAGTGCTCAGGGTATACTAGTCACTCTTCTTAGTAATTCACGGGAGAGTGATATTCTTTCTAAAGTGTTTTTCCCCCACTTAGAGGACAGAGCATGAAAGCCAAGCCTCGTGGCATAAAAGAACACCAGCCCAGCTTGACTTCACTTCATGAAATATTTGTGAAGTGGCTTCCATGGATACTGGTTACTGCCAAGACACTCCAGCAAATGACAATACCCCTGTTGTCTTCCCAACTGCACTAGAAACTTCCTGACAAGGCAGGCGCACACAGCGACCACTTAGGACGTGTTCCAAAGCAGACGTGAGCAAGCTGGAGTCTCTGTGTATACTGGCATACGGACATTCCCAGGAGCTACAAAGCAAAGCGAAAAGATACTCGCGAGGAGTGCTGCTGGCCCTCTCTCTCCTCTCCAACCACTCCACCGCAGGCTGCATCACATGTTTGGGAAGCAGATGAGGCATTCTGTGTGACAATATGCCTAACCTCATTTCCCTGCAGGAAAGTAGCATAAGGAACAAAGAGGATTCTGGGACAAAACAGAATAACACCAAGGACTTTCCAGGTCATAACCATCTCTCTCAATTTTTTCCCCTCCTGCCATCCATCTCCATGCTCATTGCCTTTCACAGTTGTAAGTCTAACTTCTTCTGATGACAGTTGCCCTTGGCTGAGGAACCCAATTGAGTTCCTAGTCAGCCCACTTCCCCCCATCTGGCATGCGAGAGCAGTTATCTCCACTCGACCACCCATTTCCTTTTAGCATCTGCCCTTTGATTTAATTAATGGCTTTTAAAAAGTCTACTTGCAGGGTTTGACCGCGTTTACTCCACTGAGAAACATTTTTGTTTTCCTTTTTGGCTTCTGCAACTTAACTCCTTTGTCAGCCCCCTTGCTGCCTTCTGGTCCCTAAATGTATGTCTTTTCATGCTTTGTTCTTCCCTTGTCTCTGTAGATGCCATCCACGGCAGCCCTGCCTTCTCTCTTTTGCACGCTTGTTCTATTGCTTACTAGGTATTTTTATTCATCTGGCTGTCTGTTACTCGAAAGAAAACTAAAATTATTCAGCTGCAAGCCCCAATCATCCCCCAACTAAGACCTTTCTGTTTCTTTAGCAACATTCCTATGATTCTTTTAGGCTTTACATCTTAGAGTAATAGTATTCAATCAATAAATACTGACTGATATGTGCTAGAGGCTGGTGAGTGTGAATGAGCATGGACTGTCTCTGTCTTTCCCCAACCTACTAGGGGGAAGGGAACATCTCGGCATAGAAACACAATACAAAAGAATAATTGCTATAATTGTGTTAAAGGCTGAAACCAGTTTGAGGGTTTGGAGGCTTACAGGAGGGAGATGATGTCTAAACTCAGATCCCCAAAATCAGGAGCAGTTATGCAAAAAGAGGATAGAGAAAGCTTCCAGACAGAGGACTATTTGAAGACCAATTGGGGAGAGAAAGAATTTGAGAATCTGGAAATAGTTTACCATACCTAAAATCCATAGTCAAGACAGCAAGACAGGAATTGGCATTAAAGGCTATTTATTTAGTCTTCTTCAAAATTATCTATGCCCATGACCACACGGAAGTCCACAGCGTGATGCTTTCTTTTTTATCACAGCATTCTTACTTGATCATCTCCCCCAACCCTTTCCACCTAGAATGCCATCATTACCCTTGTGCTAACCCTCTATGGTCTGACCTCTAGTGCAGACCATAAAGTGCTTCAGCTAGTACATAGTTTGGCAATTCACAATGTGTTGCCTGAGAATTTACTCATTCATCCATCCATCCATGCATCCATCCATCCACTTATCTAGCCAATGTATATTAATGACCGACTGTGTGCCAGGCCCTGTGCTTAGCATATGGGAGTAAACACAACAGACTTGCTTCCTGGGTTACGAATCTTACAGTTCTGTGCAGGAGACAATCAACTAGTAAACAAGTGAGTAACAATTTATTACACTGTCATTTTTGCAGTTTGGTCTCATCTTTCTGTTTGGTGTCATTGAATAAATCATAAACTCTTCCTTGAATTAGAATCATTATTATATTAAATGTCTCCATGTGTTGGCACTTTGGTTTGTTTACCAAACCTCATAGTGACCCTATGAGATGAATCTATTATGATTTTTCTTTTACAGATAAGGCAAGTAAGCACCAAGCGGTTAGGTGATTTGTGGAAGAGCACATGACTAGAAGGGGCAAAATAAAACATAGGGAATATAGTCAATAATATGGTGATAACTATGGGTAGTGCCAGGTAGGTACTAAACTAGTTGGGGGAATCATTTCTTAAATTATTAATATATAAGTGTCTAACCATTATGCTGTATACCTGAAATTAATATAAAATAATACTGAATGTCAACTGTAATTGAAAAATTAAAAATTGGGGGGGGGAAGGTGAAAGGAAAAAGAACGTGGATAATAGTAAGACATTTCAAAAAAAATCACTGTCATGATTAACATGGTGGCAATTCTTTCGTTTTATGATTATTTGCTCTCCCCCATCATCCATAGGTTAAAACCCAAATTTATTGGCATGGCATTCGAGTCTTTCCGTCATCCGTTCCTAACATTACCCCTCCAGCATGGTCTCCTATCGCTCTGTCCCAAATGCTCTGTTGGCATTTTCATCACACTTCTAACACACCATGGACGCACTTTCATGTCTCCATGTGCCACCAAGCGCTGCTCTCTCTCTCTACTGGATTGCTATCCCCTTCTTTCTCTAGCGAATTCCTACTCATCTTTGAGACCCAGCACACATCTTTGCATCTGTGTTGCGTCAGAACCTTTTACATAGGCCTGTTATAAAGCTGACTTCCACGTTTGCTAGGCAACGCATTCGCTGAGGTGGGGACTGTGATTTATTCTTCTCTGCATTCCGAATCTCTAAGCATTCCCGACACACTTCCCAGTCGAGTGGATAAAGTACAGGACTCTAAAACACAAAAAGCTTTCTGGAACCCAAAGAGTGCATTTTGACCTGGATTTTTGTACTTAATGGTATTAGCATCCCCATTTTGCAAGTCGAAAAACCAAAACGCTGAGGGGCTACGTCACTGGTACAAAGTGGCAGAGCGAGGATGGTCAAAATGCTAACAGTCATGATACAAGGCAGGCATGGGAGCAGAATAGAACACGTGGGTTAAATGTTGTAAGGGATCGTCTAGCAGGAAAAAGGACCCAGGTCTGGGAACCAGGAGACTTTGTTTCCAGTGCTAACCACCCCACTTAGCAGTGTGACTTAAGGCAGGTCACTCTCTGGGCCTAGATTTCCCCATTCATAATATGAAAGGATTGGACCAGGTCATCTCCAAGGGTTATTTGCATCTCCATCTCTTGGGAATTCTCCTCCCTGAATGGTTCTTTCCTATGTGTAGCAGACAGAATGTTTACTAGCTAGAAACCAGCTGCCATACTGAACAACTCTTAATTCCAGTTTAAATATTTACAGCAAGTTTTAAAGAAAATTTCTTAACGCTTGCCCCAGAATTTATCTTGGGGAAGAGATTCTCTTTGTCTATGAAAATACTTTGATATGCAGCTTGAGGGAAAAACAAAGCCCAAGGGGTGTGGGTCTACAGGAACCCGAGTTACCAAGAAGGCGACTAAATTGATATGTGTTAGAAAGAGTCCAGGTATCTGAGGGCTGGGAGTAGAAAGTGGAGGGAGAAGACAGAAACAAGGAAAGACTGCTAGAGAAAAGAGAGGGTCAGGGTAACATGGCCTGGGGACTTATTGGAACAAGAATAATTTCTATTGAATTTAGCTTGCTTTGCTTTCTCAAAACTTTAGTAAATCTTCAATATACACTAGAGCCTTGTGTGAGTAGTATTATTAGTGGAAATTAAATTCCACTTTGGAATTGATGTGTTATTACATAGATGACCTGAGTGCGATGGTGAGATGCTTTTTCAGGGACTCTGTATGGTTGTGCAGGTTGTGCACTGCTCAAGGGTGACATGTGTACGTGTGTGTGTAGAGGTGCAGTTCAAATCCCAGGCATCATAGATTTGTGTACTTATAATTCTCCAGTACACGGCAATAAATGTCTTGTTCTAAAAAACAACCACCATATAATGACAATTTCCTGATGGACTGGAAGTTAATTAACCTGAGGAAGGGGCGTCTTTTTCTCATTTGCACAAAAGTGATACACAGTCTAGTGGTGGTATATGGTCTTAAACTGAATGCATTCACACAATAGACGTTCAAAATTAGAGGTGATCATGAAACTAGAAGGAGGTCCTAAGGAAATTACATTTTGCTCAATCTGTCAAAAAGAGTTCTGCACCAATTGCGCTTAGGAAGATACTAGAGAACAGGATAATCTCAGCTGACACCTAAGTAACATATTGACAAAGCAGCATTAGGTACATAAACAGAAATCTGTACAAAGGCCACTTTCTCCTCTGGTCCTTCCACTTCTCTCTCTTACATGCACAGACCTGCTTGAACTCTTACGTGCATGAGAGCTAGAATAAACATTGGTGTGCCCAACGTGGCACTGGCTAGCCACAGAATTACCCAGGGTGGCAATCAATGCTGTAACGAGGAAATGGTGGGCTGCCCAGGTGTGGAAGACACTTCAGTGTCTTTCTCCCACCCCCAACTAACATGTGAACAGGGCATAAAATGCTCATTCTCCGTTTTCTGCATCTGGAGGACAGAGACAGAATTCTTAGTCGCTTGCATACACTTCCCTTTTATTGCTCGGTTTACAAGCAATCCTATCACTCCACACAAACACATAATTTCCCCTTTGTTATCTTTGCTTCCTTCAGACAAACATGATTCACTGAAGAAATAATAATGAACTGTCACCTTGGAGGTAACGGCTGCCTGCGCTGTGGAGGTGGGAGTGTGCCAAGGCCGGAGATGAGTGCAGTAGTAGCAAGGTAGGCAAAGTAAATTCCACTTCCAGGTGATGTGAGCACCCTGCAGCCTGCTGTTTACTTTTTCCTATACTTACCCGAAACAGCGGTATATAGAGCCTGAGCTGTTTTACGGTCAAGTAAAAACAATTATCGAATAATAGTTACTCTAAGAATTTACTCCAGTAACTGTTATAATCATTGATTTCTTCATTATTCACTCACTCACTCACTCACTCACTCACTCACTCACTCACTCACTCACTCATCTATCCTTCCAGCTCTCCACCCACCCATTTATTCCACAAACCTTTGCTGAGCATCCACGAACATCGAGGCACTGTTTCCGAGTTGACGATAGTGTGCGTAGTGTGATAAGGGCATGCAGCACAGCACCTGTCCTCTCAGAACCTAGTTCTCATCCTTGGCTTTGCCCTGGAATCACCAGGCATGCTCCAACACTGCCTATGTCTAGGTCTCACCTCTAGAGAGTCTGATTTAATTATTCTGGGACGGGACTAGGAGTCAGGATTATTTATAAACTCCTCAGGGGGTTCTGATATGAAGCAAAGGTTGAGAATCACTGGCCTAGAGTTTACAACCCAGTAAGGGAGACAAAACAACAAACGAGTGAGCAAATGAATAGTAATTACAAGATACAAAAGCCGTGAAGACTGGCGTTTCACGCTTTCTGGTTAGCGCTAACAAATCCCCATTCTGAGATAAGGTCCAAGGGTTAGTAGGCTGTGACTAGAAAGCAAATTTTGTTGATCCGTTTTCCTGCATTTTCCCCAAGGTGCGGTCGGTCGTGTTTGCAGTCACACATTGCCCTCGTGGCAGATTATCAGTGAAGCAATGGCCAGGAAGCTGAACTTGGGCTTTCCTTGCTATGTCAAGTTCCTTTTCTTGAGCAGAAAGCCTGAAAGCCTTTCTAAATCAATGTAATAGAAGGTATAAGAAATGCAATATGAACACTGAAATGCACTTGTCCTATAGCTGCAAAGCAGGTTCCTTTTGCGTGGTGGTGTGCTTTAGTAGGAAGAATGTAAGCTACTGTCAGGCAGAATGAGGTTTTTGGTTTTTTTCCTGGCTCCATCACCATCTTTGTGCAAGTCCCTGAACATCCATGAATCTCTCTGGTTCCTTGTCTGTAAAATGGGAATGATTACAGAGCTTTCTCCCAGGGGAAATCCTTCTGATGTGAGGATTAGTAAAATAAGACACACAGAGGAACCAGGTCGGTCCCAGGCACAGGGGTGTGCTCCATAAATGCTGATCACTTTGCCCAAGCAGCCCAAGTCTCCCTGCTAGAGGGTGAACCCCACGAGGGCAAGGCTGATGTCTGTCTTTTCATCATTGTATCCTCAGCACCTATGTCAGACATAGCAGGCATGCAAATACCTGTGGAAGGAATGGATTCATTTGTGTTATATTCCTGTGTGTGGTCTGGTAGATCCAACCAGAACCCTAGTCAGTGGAAATGTCCAGGTTCTGGCAGCAAATCACATCTCGAAGACTTTTGGGTGGGTTCCATTTGTGAAATGGCATGCCAAGGCCACTTCACGATGTCCTACTTTATAGCCTGTGTCCTCAGGTCTCATCAAGTTTTTCAGTTGCAACATGAGAGTATTGGGAAACCAAAGGGTCGGCACTGCTTAGCTTGTCCCGAGGTCCCAGGCTGAAAACCTCAACCCTGTTTTAACTGCTTCCCCAGAGAACCCACGGGAACAGCATTTTGGCCTGGGAGCTATTCATCTGCTAGATCTCATTAGTAGTGCCAGGTCAAGTGACACTAGCCCTTTAAAAAATATGGCTGGGGTTTGCTTTTTCATGTCCACAGGGGTGTCTAACTAACTGTTATTACCAACGAGGATTAATTCTACTAGAAAAGCCTCAGTAGCCACTGTATCTTGCAGGCTAATTTGGCCCAGCAATAGGCTTTAGGTAGGAAACAAGAGTTCAATGGCAGCAACCTGTGGTTATGAGATAAAAATCCATCCAAGCCACATGAAAAATTGGTCCCCGTTGTGGGCTTCAGGAGGAAGAAAACAGCATAATTCATAAGAGTGCGCATTAACGGAGGATCAAACGCTTTATGGACGCATGTAAAAATAAACGGGCAATCTCCAGGCTGACACAAAGAATGTCAATGTGAAAACAAACAAACAAACAAACAAACAAACAGCCCAACCACCTCATTTGAGTTTAATGTGTACTTTCATTTTCCTGTGAAGGTTCTGAGAGAGCCACTGATTCCCAGAAGCAGTCAGCAACTGGGGTGAAAGGTACCCAGACAAGGCTTCCTGTTTCTGGGGTTTTCTGCTGAGCCTTGGTCCTCCAGTGAAGGTGATCTAGCCTCCATCTCCCTCCTACGAATGACTGTAGGAGCCAGGAGGCTCCTACAGTGTTAGAGTTAGTGGATTTTAAAACATTAGATACTTAAATGCTCTACTTTCCCCCTTTCAAATAACGTTTCCACCTCCATCCCTCAGCATAATGCAATTCAGAAAAAGTTCCAGAGCTCTTTGTGGTAGGAGTGCTTAAAACACTAATCTTTTCGTTCATAACGGTGATGATTATCGCTTCATCTTTTCTGTGTAGTGTTTTAATCTCTCAGTGTTTCCCTCCTTCGGAAAAGGTTTGCCTCTCTCATGCCTTAATAGACGAATAGATGACAAATGCCTTTGCTATAAGAAAATTTCAAAAGTTGGGTTAAAGTTCACTTAACATTGGGCCAATTCGTCAGCTCACACTGGTTTTATTGTTTTCTTGATTATATTGAGTTGTACAAAATAGGCTATTCATAACCTGTTGCTGACATTGTGTACGAGAAATACGCTCAAGCATAACTACGCAATCACTGGGGCAGACTCCTTGGCCATAACCAGGAATGAGTAATAAACTGTTGCTTCCACAGCAAGGCCCCTGAACAAATGTAAGGCCCAAGTTCGAGGTGAAGTTTACAGCAGTTCATGCACGTCATGTCATTTAGTCCTCACAAGTCCTATCGAGGTTGGCACCGCTCTTATCACTCTGTTCACAAACGAGGGAATGGAGCCAGGAAGAGGTTTTAAAATCTTGCCATAGTCACGCCCCCACGGTGGTGATACCAGGATCCAGGGTCTGGCAGCCTGGACAGGGAACTCTGCTCCCAACCTTCACTCTGTGAGGCCGCCGGGGTCAGATTCCACCCCACATACCCAAACCTCAAAACCTTACTGAAAGGACAGGGTCTTTTCCTTCTGCCACACAGAGAGCTGTTGCATATGAACCCCTCAGTCTCCTCATCTGTACAATGGGAATGGAGTCAATCCATCTCGTCTCACTTGGGGGAGTGTTTGAGGGGATATTTGTTAAAATGTTTTGAAATTTGCAAAGCACTATAAGAATTTGAATCATTCTCCAAACATCCACAGTACAAGGGAAAATACAAAGGAATCACTCAATGCTGGTCCCAGGTTCTGTTCTTCAACTACTCAGTGAGTGGAGCTTTTGAACTATTTAAACTTAATGAGGGTCCCTGGTAACATTTTCTCTGTGAGCAATACTTTGAAGCCTGGGTCTTAGAATCTTCATACTGGAGCAAATCTGAAAGGTCGGTTAAAATCGTCCGTCTTCCTGATGTTTGACACACCCCTGGAATAGTCCTGAACTGAGAGTCCCCTTTACTGGGAGACACATTCCTCTCATGACTCTCAAGGGAGGGAAGTTACCACTTCAGACAACTGGAAACTGCCTTCTTCCGTTATGCATCTCACACTTCTGGCTCTGCCACCCTCACGCTCTGTAGCTGTTCTAAGCCATTAGAATAAAGAGCAAAATTTTCTTTTTGTAAGAATATCATAGCTTGCACAAAGAGAGGGGGATGTGCCTTTGTGTGTTCACTTCACTTAGTCACCACATGGCTCAAGCTCTGGGGTTGCCACATGACAGGAAGCAAAACCCTCCATACATCATTTGCTAAGAACGTCCCTCTAGCTTCAGAAGGAGACACTGAGTGCTGAATGTAGTATTATAATCGCTCCTCAAGCACCAAGAAGGGATGAGTACAATGCATTATGGCTGTGTGTCTCCCAAATGGTCCTCAAGTGCAGCTCAGTCATTTGCAGGGGGGTAGGGGTGGGGGTGGGAATCAGAAACTCAGTGCCTCCTGCTCTCC